CTTTCTTTGTTTCTTCTTCTTCTTCTTCTTTTTCTAAAGTGCTATAGTATCACTATCCTAGTCACGACACTAGAAACTTACTTTAAGAGATATGACTTTTTAATATTTGAGTTTTTAAAGGCATCTGGCCCTTATTTAACCATCACATTTACATCCAATTTCTGCAGGCATGGTTTTGCTGTTTAAGCTTGGCTTGATGCCCTCTGCAGAGAGCCTTTGCTTTAATGAACACAACCCCACTGAAACTGCTGGAGTCCCCTGGTCTGCCCCCCTTCCCTGCCCCCAACCAACTGTACAAGAAGAGCACAGAAAGTTTCACCTTGCATTTCAAATAAGAAGATAAAAGTAAGAAAATAAATCGAGGGAGAATCAGCTTTATGTGGCTGCCACTGCTATGACATATTCAACTTGATGCCCTTATATTATTTGCAGAAGTGTTTATGTACTATGAAATGTTCAGCCAGAGCATACAGGAGACTATAAAATATTTTATGAGATGTATACATGGTTGATGGTAGAATATGAGATGTATACATGGTTGATGGTAGAATTTTAAATGCAACTTGGGAAGGTTCTATCTAAATTCCAGGAGGGCAGATGAGGAAATACTTTCTCTGTAGTGACTCAGTTTTACATAAGGGGTTATATGAACTGGAAAGAAATACCTGATTTGGGAACTATACAAAATTTTTTTCATAAAATTAAACTTTATAATTTATAGGCAAGTAAAATTGTTTTCTTTCAGACCAAGAATCACAAGTTATGTTTATTTGTCTTCTACGTGGTAAAAGCATTAAACGTGGATTGTTTATTATTTTATAGGAACAAAGAACATGCAGTAATAAATGAAGAATCCTCCCGGGATACAGGAAGTATATACACCATTAAAAAATATTTGTGCTTCTGATGGTTTTTAAATAACAACTCTTGGTTCTAAAACTGGAACATTATTTTTGAATCTCAACTATTGCAATACGTGAAGGCAGAAGGTTAATGACATATCCTCAAAATGGCATGTTTAGAAAATTGCATTTCCAAATTCAGGTGAAGGGAGAAATATATTTCTGTTTCCTTTATCTTCAAGTCTATAAGGCAGTGCCAATTTCCCATAAGAGAAGTTATTTATTTACTTATTTATTTTCAAATTCCATCTCCCAAACACAGGCCTACAGAAATAGAAACTATTTTGTGCATTCACATTTGATTTACAATTAAGCCTGACTTTTTGTTTATTTTTGTTTTGTTTATTTAAAATTTTAATTTTATATTGAAGTATAGTTGATTTACAGTGTTGTGTTAGTTTCAGGTGTACAGCAAAGTGATTTAGTTATACGTACACATATACCTATTCTCTTTCAGATTCTTTTCCCATATAGGTTATCACAGAGTATTGGGTAGAGTTCCCTGTGCTATGCAGTAGGTCCTCGTTGATTTTATATATAGTAATGTGTGTATGTTAATCCCATCCTCCTAATTTACCACCCCTCCCCCACCTTTCCCCTTTGGTAACCATAAGTTTGTTTTCCAAGCCTGCGAGTCTGTTCTGTTTTGTAAATAGGTCCATTTGTATCATTTTTTAGATTCCATATATAAGTGATATCATATAATATTGGTCTTTGACTTCACTTAGTGTGACAATCTCTAGGTCCATCCATGTTGCCTCAAATGGCATTATTTCATTGTTTTTTATGGCTGAGTAATAGTCCATATATTTTTATGTGGTATATAAGTACCACATCTTCTTTATCCATTCATGTATCGATGGACATTTAGGATGCTTCCATGTCTTGGCTATTATAAATAGTGCTGCAATGAACACTGGGGTTGCATGTATCTTTTTGAAGTATGGTTTTCTCCAGATATATGCCCTGGAGTGGGATTGCTGGATCATATGATAGCTCTACTTTTAATTTTTAAAATTTTTTTGATTTTTTGGTGGGATCTTAGCTCCCCGACCAAGGATCAAAACTGCACCCCCTGCATTGGCAGTGTGGAGTCTTAACCACTGGACCTCCAGGGAGGTCCCTACTTTTAGTTTTTTAAGGAACCTCCATACTGTTCTCCATAGTGGTTGTACCAATTTACATTCCCACCAACAATGTAGGAGGGTTCCCTTTTCTCCATACCCCCTCTAGCATTTATTGTTCATAGACTTTTTGATGATGGCCATTCTGACCGGTGTGAGGTGATTGTAGTTTTGATTTGCATTTCTCTAACAATTATTGATGTTGAGCATCTTTTCACTTGCTTTTTGCCCATCTGTATGTCTTCTTTGGAGAAATGTCTATTTAGATCTTCTGTCCATTTTTTGATTAGGTTATTTGGGTTTTTTTTTTTATATTGAGCTGCAAGAGCTGTTTGTATATTTTGGAGATTAATCCCTTGTCGGTTGCTTTGTTTACAAACATTTTCTCCCATTCTGTGGGTTGTATTTCTGTTTTGTTTATGGTTTCCTTTGCCTTTCAAAAGCTTTTAAGTTTAGTTAGGTCCCATTTGTTTATTTTTGTTTTTATTTTCATTGTTCCAGCATCAACATCACAAAGTCATTGGGAAGATAAATGAACTACCAAAGGTAAGGTTCCTGACACAAAGTAGGTGCTCAAAGTATGTTAATTCCTCTCTCCCCTGCTTACAGACCTCTTTTTTAAAATTGATGTATAACTGGCATATAACACATTATTTAATTAACATCACAGTCCCTCTGAAGAAGGTTTTAATATAACGCTTATGCTTTAGGATGTGTCCATAATTAGAATCATTTAAAAAATAAATCTAGGTTATTGTCTAAGATAAACATGCCATAAAACCCTGACGTGTCTTGGTAATATCTAATGCAAACCCAGTATGGTGGAGTATAAGACTAGATAGACTGATAATTAGGGACCATGGTCTGGTCTCTGGTCTGTCACAGCATTGCTGAGTGACGTTGGTAAAGTCAGTTTCCCTCTCCAGGCCATCATTTTCCATCTGTAAAATGAGTGGTTGTTTCCAATGATCTTTAAGACCATCTTCCACTCTGACAGTTTATGATTCTACATAACAATTTAATCTTTAAAGAAATTTATTTAAGTCACATTTTCTGAAACTTTCCCTTTATAAATTTTTTTTCCCCCTATACTCACTGCTTAAGGAAATTTTATTTCACTTCAAATTTAGTGTTGTGGAAAGAGTCAGAAAAAGAACCTAAGTGTAGAAAAGAAAAAAAAAAGAATTACAAATATTAATATTGAGCCATTACGGGGACATCTAGGCTGGTTCGGGACAGACATAAATGACCTTGTTCTATTCTAAATTCAGCTCACTGGCTTATGATGAAAAGTGAAAGGTTATTATATGGACTTACTGGGCAAAACCAGATTTTATAAATAATTACCTGTCAGACTGTTCAAGATAGACAAACATACGCCAGACCAACAAAAACACAGACCTGTCATATTTCTGAGAGAAATGTACGTTGAGTCTTCCTTCTCTGGGACTATAAGGAGATCAGGTAGAATAAAATGAAGGGAAAAAAAATCTAAACCCGATATTTTCTGCCTTGTGCATACTTTAAAATGTATAATGTGGGAGAGGAGGAATTTCGATGTGAAAAACCGGCTCCTGAAAATTTTACACGTCCATAAGCCTGGCATAGAAACCAAATACAATAAATGCTGTTGTTTTACAAGTTAGGATGTTTACTGCAAGCTTGTAATTTTCCATGATTAGGGATGCCAAGAAAAATAAGAATGATGATAAAAAGAAAAGTTTAATCATACATTTCACCCAGCGCAGATGGAACATCAAAACCCTTTGGCAATTTTTTGATATTATATATCTGCATTTTTTCGTTCTTGACATGAAGATTTTTTCCAGAAGGACTAACATAGAACAGGTAAGTGATGGTTAACAAATGTGAATAATATGGCGCAATCACATTAACTGAGCCTCACTATGATTTGGTCACAGGAGGAAAATCTTGCATGCTTCTCATTTCTGTTTTTATTAATTCTTTACAAAGGCTATCTCAGTGTGTGTAGAAACCATGATAAAAGTAAAATTATACAAAACTCCTAAAGAATTAAAGAAACAACTTCCTTCTTTGCAATTCAAGTTCAATCAAGAACTGTATATAACTGCTATATTTTGGTTCGCTTCGTTACAGTTCCTCATTTACTGGAGAAAGTATAGATGCCAGAAGGATAACTCAGCTGCTACCAGCAAGAAACTGCCCAGACCACATTTCAGTCTAGGTGTTAGTGCTTTGGAGGGAGAAAGAAGATCACTTGGCTCCCCATCCATTGATTCTAACCGCTTTGCTTCTAAATGGGTACAGCGTGTGTGTGAGGGCTGGGCCTGGGGATCGGAGGGACAGGGGAAGGAGAAAAATGAAGATGGGGAAGAGGGTCTACGAGGGGAAAAACACACGATAGGTAGATACTCAGGAAGTTGGGAGGAGGCCATGAAAATGACACATATACTACACGTGGGGTGAAGGGAAGAGAAGATGGGAACAGACAGTTCATCAGGCCAATTAGGTCTTTGATTAGTGTGAGTTTATAAGATGGACATTTGTCTGTAAAATACATGTAGATCTAGACATCAAATGTCAGAAGGTAGAGTTGGTGGGACAGTCCAAGGGGAAAACTGACTGTTCTTTTAATTTTGTTTCCTTTGTCCTAAACCTGGATTACAAAATGCATCAAATAAAACATAGACTAAACACTGAGGAAAAAAAAAAGTCACTGCTTTTAAGTTATGTGAGCTGAGAGCAGTAAATCTATTCCAAATTAAAATCTCAAAACTGTGTGATGTGCATTCTTGTCCACTTACACACCATCCCAAACATCCTGCCATTAATTGGCTAAATGGCCCATCTAGTAAACAAGACTAAGCGTTGAGGGGGCTGGAAAAGGGCTGGAGTCAGCCAGTTGATAGTCACAACAAACCAACCCACTCCCAAGGATGCGGAGAAGGTAAACTTGTCTTTTATTTTGCCCAAGGAGGGGAGCAGAAATCACCTTAATATAACACTGCCTTTCCTGTTGTCTCAGTCACAGTCACATCAGCAGGCCAGAAAAGCCATCCCATTCCTGCGGTAGGCACTCTGTCAAAGAAAAAGAAATCTGCAGTGAATTATCACATGAAGTCAGACCAGGAAAGGAAGCAAAAGAGCAAACAGAACTTTCTTCCTGTTTTGTAGACTCTGCTGGCTGCAATCTAATAGGGTGCTTAATCTGAACATTTCTGGTGGCAAAGCTCTAGCAGCCACTTTGTTAAAAAGTCAGTGTGGTTAACAAGTGGTTAGTGATTCTATTTTGGGGGAGTGGGAGATACCTAAAATAAGACATCCCATTTTGTTAATTGATTGGGCTTGGTTAGGCCAAAGACATGTTGTGTTGAATCTGTTTGTCCTTTATAAACATGTGCTCTCTCCTTTATAAACATGTGCTCTCTATTGGACATGCCCAAGAATCACTTCTAACTAAGTCTCTTAATAGTCTGTAAATTACTGACTCATTATATCCTTCCCAGGCCTAATTTACAGTCTCAGCGAAAAGCTATGGGAACAGATACTAACAGAGCCCCCCGCCGCCGCCACAAATATGGTGATCTCTAAGGAGTTCTGTACATAATAGACATTACAGAAAACCTGAATCTTACATAATTTTATATACATTCATGTACATATAGATGTATAAATGGATATTCATGATGGGATAAAAATACTCCCATAAAAGAAAAATGGGAAAATAGATACTAATTGCAATAATGCAATATATTCCAGTAAAGAAAGTAAAATGGCGTGATTTCTCACCCCAAGAGATATATTCTGCATTTCAGAGTCGGAAGAGTTGGGCCATACAGGGCCTCTGTGACTCGTCCTGATTCTCACAATGAGACCCAGAGTGACGCAGAATTAAAATCCGGGATTTAGGAATAAAATACCCCTTTTCACCACCATAGTTTTCATTATTTAAACTAGGAACAGCAACGTTCAGAGAATTCATAACCCTCAATTAAGTGGAATTTTTCTATATCTGTTTTCAGAAAAATGGAAAAAATGACAAAATCTCATATCAGGGATCTTTTTTTCCTTTAAGCTAGTAACTCTGGGCTGTTCTGGAGTCTGTAAACTTTCGGTCCAATAAATTTACCTTCAGTAGCCATATTATAGGAAATACAGAATAAGCTTTTATGGTTAAGATAATGTTATGAAGGTGCTGAGAGTTTTATTCTAAAAACATGATTATTTTTAATTATACAAAAAAAAAAAAAAAAGGAAAGTGGACCCAAGCTTTTTAGAAAGACTTCTACCAATATGAGGTGAAACAAAAATGGTTTTCCAGATAACTTTCTGTTAATCGTAAAATTCAATTAACTTCAAAACCCTTCCCTTCAAATCTCCTGCTTACACAGGATTTACTATGGTTGTTACACAGTTCACTCCAGATCAGCATATCAAGGATGAGAAAACAGTGGCAGATTCCAAGTTTCCTTTCTCAGGGATCTCTGGGAGCTCCATCTCACCATTGGACTCTTTGTGCCACAGGGCACTTTCAGATTGAAGCAAACATTCTAACAAAGGCTAGAAAATTCCAGCTCCAGCTCCTAAGATTGTGCACCGAAGAACAGTGGTTAAGTGAGCTCCTTGGAGAGCCACAAATAAGTTGCAGGAACGGATAAGGTGTCTTCCCACAACTACAGGCAGGGGAGCCTCAGGCCTTGAAACAGCCCCTTCCACCACAGCCGCCTTCGGGAGGCTCACGCCAAAGTAATACTTTCAGCTTCTTAACCTTGATATTTTACTGTTTACAACCACAGTGACAACCTTTAACATAACATAATATTGAAAGCACAAGGAATGGTTTACATGGAGATAAATGGACCTAGGAATAAAGCTGGGTTCCTCTTAAAGGTAAATGGTTGAGGTGAGCCTTCCTTGAAAAAGCAGTCTTGGCTCGGGAGAAGACTGAGTCTTGGCTGAACTCACCTGAGAAATTACCACATTAAATCTTTCCAGGGTGGACGATATGAAATGGTTTGCTCCAGTATTGAAAAGGTCACTTTTCAAAAATCTAGTCACCTTCACAGATAACTGATTACCATTGTTTGCAAACAAGTAAAAGATGAGGGGCTTATTTAATAACATAGACACTCAAGTAGCCAAGTTTAATGAGAAAACCAAAGTTTAGAGCTGACCCAGATTTCTGGAATAAGTTCTTCTAATTCTAATTCTAAAGTAAAGAAGAAACAAACGAGCATGTGTAATTAGTGAAGAGCAATTTCAGCAAACCAATCCCCTAGGGTCCTCCACCCTGAGTCACTGCTTTTTCCTTTTGATGTATAAAGGATGTATGTTGTCTGTCTGTGTAGGGTAATTATGGGAATGTCCCAAATTTGGCATCCCTTCCAGAGTAAGCAACTTGAAAGGAAGATGGATGAAGACAACTCATCTTTGTGTCAACTGTGAATTTCTCTCTATTTGTGTTGCGAATGCTGAAACTAAATTTAAACATTGCTTGGTGTGAGGGCCTTCCAGAGGCCACGTTCTCATGAAACATTCTGTATCCAACTCACTCTCTACTGTCAGATCCTATGAACGATTCACAGACACCCCAGTTAGTAAAACCCAGACCTTGACCAGCAAAAGCCAGGACCTCCCCAACTACTGAAAAGTATAAATTAATCAATAACACAGACCTCGCCCCCCGCAAACCAGCTCTTACTGCTATATACCACTTAAGCTTTACTTCTTACTTAATAGAGCTCTGTTCTCAACTACTGTTGGCTCCTATGTAAATGCATTGAACAGCTCAGATATTTTAGCATCTCCCAAAGTTACCAGCAAAGATGATAATATATATATATTTTAAAGGACCAATTGTAGTTCTTAGGCTTTTTTTTTTAATTGAGTATCAAGCTAGCTCCCCATTTTTGACATTCTTTTATTCATTCAGTTCCAAATTATGACCTTTTACTGGAATCTCAATCTACCTGGATAAACAGACATAGATTCTACTTGCTGCACTGGGCACTGGTGGGGAAATTAACTAATTAAGGGTGTACTTTAAAAATATGGCTTAAAAAAAATCATATGGACAATGAACAAGCTAGAGAAAACATTTAAATCCCAAACTGGTTTACTTCTGCTTTTTTATGGTGCATCATAAATTACACATTTTAAGGAATGCAAATTAATATTAAAAAGCAAAAGGTTAATATTTATCTTAAGCAAAAGAAGATAAATATGCTATAAAACATATCCTGCAGTTTGAATATAATTATATATGTGTGTTATTTATGCCATTAGCCTAATTAGTAAGGCTTTAATTATAGATAAAACCACGCCCCTCAGTTCAGACCTGTATTTTATTCTTACTACTACATTTCCTGATTAATTTTGGCATCACTGAGGCTGAGCTGTTGCTGCTCTGCACCCTGTTCCATGGGGCCAGAGTTAGGACTTTGACCCACCATCCCCAGGACGTGCTGTTGCTGCACCCTGAGCTCAAGCCACTACTGTACCCTGTCACCCCCCAGCTTGTGCCACTGCTGTTCTCCCCACCCTGGGGTCCAAATCACTGTGGTAAGCCCCAAGAACTCAGACCCTGGGTCCTTGGAAGATATGCACATGCCTGCACCTCAGACACCTCAGACACTGGCACTACCATCACTGCAAGTGCACCTGTGCCCCAGGACCAAGGTAGTTCCACGCCTGATCCTAGAACCCCGGCTCCACTGCCACTGAGTGCCAGCTCACTAAACCTTGTACCAAAATGGATCCCCTTGGCTAGAACTTCCTTTCACAGGCAAAAAAGAAAGACCCCAGCAGCAGCCTCTGCCATCGAGGACCCCAACAGCCCTAGGTGTCACTGCCACTTGCAGGACCTCTGCAGTCTGGGTCCCTGCAGTCTTTGCCCAAGTTGACCTCAGCTGATGGAGCTGCACAGAGATTATGCCACGGTGCTTTCCCCAGAATCAGAGCTGCTGAACCCTACCCTGCCAGAGCCCTCACAGGCACCTTCAGGTGAAAGTCTTTCCCCTCCAGAGTCAGTCTGAAAAGGCTGGAAGAGTTGACTGCTCCCTCAAATGTGCAAAGCTACTGGAAACGTGGAAAAGCAAGGAAACATATCACCACCAAAGGAACTCAATAATTTTCCAGCAACTAACCATAAAGAAATGGATATCTGTGAGTTACCTGAAAAAGAATTCAAAATAATTATTTTAAGAAAGCACAGTGAGATTAAGAGAACTGACAGACAACTCAATGAACTCAAGAAAACAATGCATGAACAAAATGAGGAATTCAACAAAGAGACAGAAGTCATAAAAAAGAACTAAACAAAAATTTTGGAACTAAAATGCAAGAGAGAGCTTCAAAAACAGAATCAAGCAGAAGAAAGAATGTGCAAACTTGAAGACAGATTTCTTGATATTATCCATTAAGAGGAGAAAAGAAGTAAGAATGAAAAAAGGGTGAAAAAAGTCTGTAAAATTAGGGGACACCATTAAGTGAAATAATGCAGTCAGCCCTCTGTATCTACTGATTCCACATCTGCAGATTCAACCAACGAAAAATACTTGGAAAAAAAATTCCAGAAAGTTCCAAAAAGCAAAACTTGAATTTGCTGTGAGCCGGCAACTATTTACATAGCATTTACATTGTATTTACAACTATTTGCATAGCATTTACATTGAATTAGTTATTATACGTAAACTAGAGATGATTTAAAAAATATATGGGAGGATTTACAGAGGTAACATGCAAAAACTATGTCATTTTATATAAGAGACTTGAACATCTGCAAATTTTGGTATCCATGGCGGGTCCTGGAACTAATCCCTCACAGATACTGAGGGATGACTGTATTTGATTTATGGGAGTCCTAGAAGTAGAAGAGAGAGAAAGGGTCAGAAAACTCATGTGAAGAAATAAGTTCTGATATCTGGGGAGAGATATGACCATCCAGAAACATGAAGCTCAGGAATTCCCATATAGATTTAGCCCAAAGAGCTATTCACTGAGACATATTATAGTCAAACTCTTAAAAATCACTGACAAAAAGAGAATTTTGAAAGTAGCAAGAGTTTAAAAAGAGTCAT